TTTTTTTTTACGGAACGATAGAAATATTATATATCAACCAACAGTTGATTAAAGTGAAAGGACAAGTACGAGACCGTCTAGATCCGCAGCTAGCCAAGCTAGAAACCAAAACAAGACTCAAACCCAACCAAACCTACAACACAAACAAAGAAACACAAAACTCCCAATAGGAGAATATGGAACGCTCCCCACGGGAGAATACCGGAACACAGTCGGACTTACAGAAAATAGTGGCCAACGTCCCAAACCAAAAACACCAAACGAGAAACGAACACAGTCCAAGTGGTCCAAACAAAAACACAAACTGAGACATCACAAGCACGAAACAGAAAACCTAAACAAAAATAATATATAAAAGACTCTTCCCCAGCAATCGATCAGACTCAGCCAGCAGTGAACAATCGACACAAGACGGATACTCAGCCCGAAGAAAGACTACCGAAACTGCCTAATGCCTATACAGTAGCCAACATCGAGTCCCGTACCAATCCCCGAGTCGACCCATCACCGACCGAGAGGAAAACAAATCGCCCCTACACCAACCCCGGCTCAAACCCGTCTAACACCACTAGACGAACTCGAGAGAACCCGATCCCCCTCCGCCTAGCACCACTAGCCGAAGAGGAGGTGTACGGATAGCTCGGTCTCTCAACCCCGGCCGCCGCAACAGTAACCGCCACAACATTCGGAGTCCCGCCCCGACACCCATCCTACACGCCTCCCAACACCACAGCAAACCGTCGTCAACCATAGCCTGAAACCATCGTAATGCCCGCCGTCAACAGGGAATTTGTTCCGGAAGAACTCCGACAAGCCAGCAAGAAGAAGACCAAGGGCAACTCACCTCCAATCGAAGACTGTCGGTGACACCAAGGGTGCGCCGCCACACTTTGCATACTCACCGACGATGGAGGTAAGGCCACCAATCGCGACACCTGCATGGACGTCGGAGCCACGCGACGCTACGGGCGGACCGAGCGGTCAGGGATGACCATTGGCCAGAGTCTAATCGTCACTGAGGAAGGCCAGGATCGGAGAAATTGGGAGAGGAAGAGCGGATTTGGATCGGAAAAATATATTCTCTAATTAGACAACATTCCAAATATTCGAATGATTTAGGAAAAAGTTTAAATGACGGGATTTCTACGAGTTATTTTTGCAAAAATTTTAAACGGCGAGATTCCAAATATTAATTCAAAAGAAAAATCTTTGATTTAGCAAAAAAATATATCTATACTTATATAATAAGGTATCCTATTTACCAAATTTAGTATGTTGAAAAGCCAACGTAATTAATGCATTGCTATTTCTATCCATAATTTTATTTAATTAGTTTATTTATTTGTCTTATATCCAATAAAATCAGTTTAATAAAAAAAATCTCATAACATCTGATAAGTAAAAAAAAGGGACGTAAAATCTTTACTAAAATAAAAAAGACTTTATTTATCTGTCTTATTTCATATTAATATCGATTTTGTCAAAACAATTCCCATAAAATCGGTGAAGTCAAAACTTGTACGTAAAGTCTATTTATACTAAAAAAAAAAGCAGATTCAAAATTTCTTATCTAATTTCTTCTTTTTTTCCTTATCTAATTCCTTCTTATTATCTAATTGTATGGAAATCTGTTCTGATTTTGTTCAATCCTCTAATTGTATTTGTATTATATCTCATAAAATCTGTTTAACAAAAAAAACCCCATAACATTCGATAAGTAAAAAAAAATATGTAAAATATTTACTAAAATAAAATAGGACTTTATTTATTATTTAATTTATTATCTAATTGTATGGAAATATGTTTTGATTTTGTTCAAACCGATTTTTGTATATTCAAATTCAGATTTTCTAATAAAACTATTAACACCCATTATATATTACAAATCTCAAAATAAATTATTTGAATTATTTGAATTTCTGTTTTAATTTTGAAATTTGAAACGTATATTTTTAAATTTTTTTTCGTGTATGTATTTAGATATTTTTATACATGTTTAGTTAAATATATTTTCGATTTTTTTTTTTAATTATATTTTCAAATTTGCAATTTGGCTTTTTTTATTCTACATATCGTGTATGTATTTAGATATTTACATTATTTATATTTATTTTCGTGTATTATAAAACATTTATTGAATATTGCATCTTATAGTATAATAATCCCCAAATAAATATATCATGTGCCTCGCACAGGTCACGCACTATATATATCTCGTACATTTTTATTTATTCATTTATATAATTATAAGGCTAGATAAATGCCTTAAAATTGTGCACCCCGTGCATCGCACGAGCTCTGTACTAGTCTAAGATTAATGGATTTGAAACGCACACTAAAAAAAAAAAAGAAATTTGGTCGAGACCAAATAACGCCTCCTAACCCACCCCAGCCAATGAAATATTACTTGATATAAAGACTAATGTTAGGTTGTTTAATTGTTAGACAATTATATTTTATTACAAAAGAATGTTAAAGTTTTATTTATATCGTGATTTAAAGTATGATATTTAAGTATTAATATATATAATTTTATTTAAAAAATATGACTGCCGATACATTAGGCAACCTAAAGAAAACCTAATATTACTTAGAAATTAGAATATTACACCATAATTTTTGGTTATGTGTAACAGTTACTTGTGTTATATTTTGGAAAATAAAAAAACATGTTAAAAATTACATACTAGTAAACAACTAAATGAGCTCAGAGTCCATCTTACTTTGAAGCTATTCATTCTAAATACCAAACAAGATCATCAACATAAAATATCTAAAGCTTTCAAAAACATTATGATTAATTTTGAACACAATGATTGTTAGACTTTTGAATATACAATTGATCTAACACATAGGTCCAAACTCGGTTGTTGGTAGAATGTGGAACACACTCTTATCCAAGATTAGTGGATGTGAAAGTCGAAAAGATTTGGTCGAATCCAAATAAAGCGTTTCTATATGCTAAAAGTCTAATAAGATATGACCATACACACGGGGAAGAGAGTACGGTCCCATTATATGACACGTTAAGAGGGTGAGTTTAGGTGCACTTTAGTGAGATTCCATCTCAAAACCAAATAGTGATGAGAGTAGTCCACTAGGTTTATAAACTAAGTTCATTTATCCTATATAATCAATATGGGACAACTAACAAGTGATATTCCAACACGCCCTTCGTAAGCAAGTCCACATAACTGGCCCGATAGAGAGATAAACCCAAGCCCAGAGCAAACCAGGAGAAAGAGTCATTGCAGGTCTTAGGACAAGCTCGCTCTGATACCATATTATAACCGGGAGAAGAGAGGGCGGTCTCACCATAGTGAGTCTAGGTGCACTTTAGTGAGGTTTAATCCCAAAACCAATTGGTCATGAGAGGAGTAACCCACTAAGTTTATAAACTAGGCTCATTTACCCTATATAATCAATGTGGGACAACTCACAAATGATATTCCAACACGCCGCCGCTTCAACTCCGTAGTATGTATCGAGCTGAGCCGAGCTCGTCGCATTAACCAAACGAGTTTTAAATGAACTCAAGCTCGGCTCGCTAAGGCCTCGAACTCGAGTCTTAACAAGTCGAGTCGAGTCATGCCAGACTCGTTTAATTTAACAACACCACTTCCAACCCAACACACAACAAGCCCCATCCTACACACACCAAACGTTCACACAGCACAAGCCCCACCAAGAGAAACAAAAAAAACAACACTACAAAAGCCAAAACTAGTGAATAAATTAGGCCTTGGTAGGAAGAGGAATATAAAACCATACGTATTTTGGTTCCAGAAGAAAGAATTGAAAAAGCAGTGAACAATCGACGCACAGAGCTCCCTATGGAGTGGTGTGTGTCGATGCCGAAGATTGAATTACATGCTCATCTCAATGGCTCCATAAGAGATTCTACTCTACTGTGCGTCCTTTCATTTCATCTCTTACACAGTTTTGCTTTACCCGAATTTGGTTTTCTCAAAAAAATGGCTTTTAGCAGTTGATGCTAACAGTAAAAGGAAGTTATGGATTTAAGTTATGGATTTTCTCTACCTTTGTATTTTCTTCAGTTTATTTGAAAAAAAAAGTTGTTATCTGCAGAGAACTTGCCCGAGAATTGGGGGAGAAAGGCGCCATAGTTTTCTCAGAGGTAGAACATGTTATACGCAAAGGTTTGTTTTCAGTCTCTCTGTCTCTTAGAATTTCCCCTTTTTTCGTATATCTGCTCAGTTTAATTATCTGTGTAATTTGTTAGCTCTGGACGTTCATGGTGAATATGTTGTTTTTTTTGGATATATAATTAGCCCAAATGTGGGCACTGTGATTCTGTGAATCTTGGGCAAGTTTTTTGAGTGCTTTTGATTGTCATTCTGTGTAAACCCTAGGCTTCTTCTTGGGTATTTAGGAGTCTTAAATTGGACTTACAAATTCATGTTGCTGTCCCGTGCCCTTCATCGTGTGTGCTTTGAGTGACACGAGTTTTGAATTTGGAGGTGACATGTTGACCCTGAATTTGATTTAAAACATTTCTGTCGCGAATGCAGATGATCGTACACTCAGTGAAGTCTTCAAAATGTTTGATATAGTATGTGAATTTTGAATTATGAGATGACATGTTGACCCTGAATTTGACTTGAAACATTTTTGTCGTGAGTGCAGAGGATCGTGCGCTCAGTGACGTCTTCAAAATGTTTGATTTAATTCATATTATTACCACAGACCACAAAACTGTTACGAGGATCAGCAAGGAGGTTAGTTTGAGCTAAATGCTTTGGGTGGTTGCATATTGTATTTTTAACTATTTAGAGCTTGTGTTTTTATTTTATTTTTCTTTTGCACAATAGGTTATTGAAGACTTTGCTGCTGATAATGTTGTTTACTTGGAGTTAAGAACAACTCCGAAGGTATATCAAGCATTTATACTTTCATTTCATGAATAACTATCTTTTACAGCTATAAGCAAGAACCAATGGTGATTAATGATAAAAAAAATATGACTATCTATGATGATTAGCTTGTTGGAAAACATTGAACTGGCTTTGGATATGCACGAAACGTTGTCTTCTTACATTTGTATACTGCAGAGAAATGATTCTAAAGGGATGAGCAAGCGCTCATACATCCAAGCAGTTTTAGATGGCATACAATCTGTAGATACGGTTGATGTGGACCTTTTCGATAGGCCCAACTCAGATATTTCTGTTAATTCTCATCTTGGGAATGATTTAAGCAATGGAACTGGAACTGGAACTGGAACTGGAAGAAAGAAAATATTTGTGAGGCTACTTCTCAGCATTGACCGTCGTGAGACAGCTGAAGCTGCAATGGAAACTGTAAGCTGATTAGATTTGAACATCAAAAAGAAATTTACGTTTTTGTTCAGTGTATGCTACTGTTGGAGTTTGTTGCCTCCTTTTTGATAGGTAAACCTTGCTCTAGAAATGAGAAACCGGGGAGTTGTGGGCATAGATCTTTCAGGAAATCCTCTTGTTGGTGAATGGTACTATACAATACCTATAGTTCTCAATGATTTACGGCGACTTTCATTTGTAATTTTGTACACTGTAAGTAGATATTAAATTTGGCTTGTGCTAGGCCGACTTTTTCGCCAGTTTTGGAGTTTGCTAAAAATCAAGGACTTCCAGTAACTCTCCACTGTGGCGAGGTGCATGTTATCTGTCTACTTGATAGCACTTACATATGTATTTTTTTTTTCTTTTTTCTTTTTTTCTGCTCCAATATTGAATCATATTGCTCTTAATACTTTATTTTGCAACTTAGTGCATATAGGTCCCCAATCCAGATGAAATTCACTCAATGTTAGTTTTTCTTCCGAGGAGAATTGGACATGCTTGTTGCTTTGAAGATGATCATTGGGAACTTTTGAAAAGGCTCCAGATCCCGGTTGGAGTTCCCTATCTTTGTTCTGTGTTACTATGTGGCTACTGTTATGGTCATTACATGATTTTAATAAATAATTATATATGAATATATGTCCACCATAAACATCAGGTCTCAATCTTTTTGTGATTCTTGGTCATCTTGTAGTTTGATCAATTAATTACATTGTTTCCATTCATGTATTTTGGTCACAGTAAGTTTGCACGTCTATTTGTTAGACAGCCATACTTTATATACAAATATATGCATACTCTCATTGTAAAATGTCATACTTAAAAAATAACAAAAACTGAATGTATGTCATTTCATAATTTATATATTCATTTTTTGCTTCAAAAGTATGACCGACGACTCTCCTAACCATTAGGCAGCCTCACAGTAGAAGTTGTGTTTTGGTCAAGTTTCGAAATAAATTCTCCATCACACCATAAAAGTGCAATCATTTAATATGCCATCGTGTGTTCAATTATGTTTGTTTACTTGCTTACTGATGTTTTTATTTGATTTCCCTTCATCAAAACAGGTCGAAATTTGTTTGACATCCAATATTAGAACAGAAACCATTGCTTCTGCAGATGTTCATCATTTTGGTTTGACTTCAAAACTCTCTCAGGATGCAATTTATCGGTTTATGTGTTGAATCTCAATTTTCATAACTGCTAGACAAATGCTAGGCTCTCTCTGATTTATCCTGTCTCAACTCATAATTCCTACTCTAACTTATTTCCACTCGGTTAAAATAGGAAACAAATAAGGAAAGTCTATATCTAGCTAATGCAGCTATTTTTCTTGCAGCTGATTTGTACACGGCAAACCACCCATTAATTTTGTGCACGGATGATGCTGGGGTTTTCTCGACCAGTCTATCCTCTGAGTACGCACTTGCGTCGTCTGCATTTGGTATGCGCGCGATTCATTGTCTACTTATGTGATAATTGAATTTTTTTTTTCCGCTAAAATTTTTGCATCATACCTTTTTCATATAAAAAAAACGTATCTAACATCCCGAACAGGTCTTGGAAAGAGGGAAATGTTTCAGCTTGCACAGCAAGGCATCAACTTCATTTTTGCATGTGATGAAGTGAAAGATGAACTGAAGACGATATTTTCTGGTCATGGGGAACACGAATAGTAGACTTCCTGGTTTCGTCTCGTTTCTAAAAAATATTATCCGGCCAGTCAAAACTATATACTATATCTAATCGCGCCCTTAATGTTTCCTTATGAATTTTTAGATTTAAGTCAAGTTCAATCTTAACTAATATTTTAGGGGTACAAATACAATACTACATTTGTACTTATTTTATTACCCAAAAAAAAAAATGTTTGTATTGTTAAATTATAATAAAATAAAATAAATTGTATGGATATCATTATACCCCCAATGTTTTGAAAACCAGCCTGGTATCCGACCCTAATTGGCATCCGGGTCATTTTGTCACACAACTTAATTGTCGGATTATTGGGTCAATTGTTGGGCAACATAATTATAATTAAAATTTTAAATTTATAAAAACATTAACTTAATCTTACAAGTAAATATAAAATAACTACCATAAACAATTTATAGTTATATTTTAATAATATAGTGTTCCATCATAAATATTTACCACATATAACAATACATATACATACATAATTTTATTATTAAAATAAAAAATATTTTAAAAATACAATGTTCGGGTCAAATAGGGTTGACTAGGCTGAGTCAATTTTAGGTCGAGCTAGAGCCGATTGAATTTTTGAACAGGTGCTTTGTATATTTTTTATGCATACAATATGAGTATCAACTCGAAGAACATAAAATAAAAGATAATTAATATAATATATGAAAAATTAATAATAAATAAAAAATGTTATTAAATTTTTATGAAGAAAATGACATTAATACTTACCAAGTCACCACAGTTTATGACACGGCAAAGATCATCTCGATCGAAAACTCATGCTCCTTCAAACTTCTACTGCATTTGATACTTTTGATTATCATTAAAAAAAATGAAAAAAAATGAAATAAAAATCCAGTTCTAAATTCTAATTGGCTTCATTAAAAACAAAAAATAAAAAATGAAATAAAAATCTTTATGTACTACTGTTTTTAAGAATTATTATATATATATATCATGCATTTGTTTCACTAGTAACATCTTCATCTGTCCTCATTGCTAGAAATTCAAGTGCTGTGACAACATCTCCGATTAAAGGCCTCGTGCTGGCTTCCTCTTGAAGACACATTGCTGCAACTGCAAGTGCTTGGTACAACCCTTTTGCTGGGTAGTTCCCCTCGAGCAACGGATCCGCCATTTGCGTAAATTTTCGCCTGTCTTTGAAAAGCGGTTTTGCCTGCGAAAAGAATCGGTTTCCTATCAAATTTCCAGGTTCGCTGAGGCAAGTAAATTTGGTTAAGGCTATGTTTGGTAAACATATAAGCTAGTTTATAACTTACTTAATTAGTTTATAAGTTTTCTGTGAAAATAATATTAGTGAGTTTTTTTAAGTACATCGAGCCTATCGAGACTATATTTGGTAAAACTAGTTGATAGCTGATAAGCTGACTTATATATAGGTTATAAGTGATTTTCGAGCTTATAACTTATATATTATGATTTATAACTGAAAAACTAGCTTACTTGATAAATATGTTTGGTAAATTAGCTGATAAGCTAGCTGAAACATAATTTCAACAAATTTATTTGAAAAAAACTACTCAAATAAGCTTATGAGATAAGCTCAAGATTTTTATAAAAGCTTCTTCTACTAAACAAAACTTATTTGAATACACGAAACTTATAAGTCAACCAAATAAATTATAGGCCAACTATTTTGGTTACCAATCATAGTCCAAATTTCCAGGTTCACTGAGTCAAGCAAATTTAGTTAATCATATAAACTAGCTTATAGCTTATTTGATTAGCTTATAAGCTTCATATATTCAAATAGACTTGGTTTGGTAAGATGAGATTTTAAGTATTTCGAACTTATCTTATAAGCTTCCTTGGATAATTTTTTGAGAGAAAATGACAAAAAAAAAGGAACTGACCCAAGCAACAAGATTTTCCTCCTCGGGTGGCTTCGTGTTGTCAATCGCCCTTCTTCCAGAAATGATCTCCAAAAACACAACCCCAAAACTATAAACGTCTGATTTTGTCGTCAGTTGGCCCGTTTGCGCATATTCCGGGGCGCAATACCCGTACGTCCCCATCACGCGAGTCGACACATGGTCCTGCCCACCCGTGGGCCCCAGCTTGGCTAGCCCGAAATCCGACAACTTGGGACTGAACGTCTCATCAAGAAGTATGTTAGACGCCTTGAAGTCTCGATATATTATCGGAGGGTTAGCCATGTCATGCAAGTACTCGAGCCCTTGAGCCGCCCCTTTCGCTATTTTCATCCTCGTGTACCAATCCAGAGCCTTCACATTTGGCGGTAAATCTGAAAAAAAAAAAAAAGTAGAAAAGTTTATGTATATGTAAAAGGTAATTTACAAACTTACTAGTAAAAAGCTACTAGAAGTAGAGAATTGTTGGAACATCACTTGCAAATTGTCTCACATTAATTTTACCGAAAAAAATGAGCCTAGAGCTACTCCTCCATCACTAATTGATTTAGAGATGAAACCTCAGTACGGGGTACATAGGCTCATTCTCTAATAGTGCGCTTCACCTGCGTAGAACCGCACAATTTTCCCCCGATTCTCTAAATCTTACAAGAAGATTAAGTAAAAAAAACTTGTATTGATTATTACCAAGAAGGTGATCCTCTAAGGACCCGTTTTCCATAAACTCGTAAACCAGAATCCTCTGGCGGCCATCCGCACAATACCCGATCAAGTTGACGAGGCTCGAGTGGTGAACGAGGCTCAATGTAAGGACCTCGGCTAGAAACTCCCGATTCCCTTGGACCCCGTTTCGGTCGAGTTGCTTAACAGCCACAATCTGAAACAGAACAACAAAAACAATGTAAAAATGAGATTGCCAAAAAAAAAAAGAAATAACTAAATAAATAAATAAAATAAATTATTGGATTATAATTATATTAGCATTTTACTTGATTTGTTTTCTTGAGATATCCCTTGTAGACCCTCCCGAACCCTCCTTCTCCGACGAGCAATTCCGGGTTGAAGTTATCGGTAGCGTTGGCGAGTTCTCGGAAAGTGAACACCTCAGCTGGGACCCTCCCATTTCCATGCCTCATTATATCCTCTGCTATTATCCTCTGCTTCATCCCAACTGCATTATTTTAATCAAAACAAACACAAAAAGATGGGACTAATTAATGCTACATTGCTCAATCAAGAAATCTAGTTTTTTAACAAAAGAAATAAAATCTTCATGCGAAAGTTGATCGTAATTCATTACCGGGATTCAACGATATGCTCCTCCCGGTCGTGGACAAAGCCTCCGCATTGTCGAATTTCTTCTTCGTCTTACCATCTTTGACGTAACTTTTCGAAGATTTCAAAGCCGACTTCCTCATTGTATCACTTCTTGAAACCCTGCAGCAGGACAGAATGCTCATCTCCTTCCCGAAACGGCCCCTAGATTTCACGAATATTGCAGATCGGCCCTTCCTCTCGATGTCCAGATCAAATCAATCATCACAAGGGGAAACAATGAAAGATGCTAATGTATCTTCTCCTCATTTTTTTTTTGGGGGCCTTTTGCTTTCAAGAGCTTATATATGGAGGCACAGTTGAAAGGAAAACAAATAATTTTAGGTGGAATTTTAATTGAGAAATTAAGGAGGAGATGAAAGTTTATGTCACCAAAGATGATTGGGGACAACTACTTTTGTGGCCACCTTAATGACAACATATGCAACGTTTTTGATTTTATCACATCGCATTTTACGGACAAGTGAGGGACGTGTGGTATTATACTATTGATAGAATGGATTGCTTATTTAAATTTTCGGTAAAAAAACGATTAAAATTCCTACTAAAGGCCGATAAGTGTTGGTTGAGGCAGGGGGTGTAAACGAGTCGAATGTTGAGCTTTTAATAACGAGCCGAACTAACTAAATGAGTTTTAGTAATTGAGCTCGATCTCGGCTTGTTTATCAATATTAACAAGTCGAGTTCGAGCCTTAGCTAGCCGAACTCAAGTCTTAACGAGCCAAACTATAGAAAATAATATAAAAATTCTTATTTTCGAGTCATAACAGCGGAGCCAGGCTCATTAACTAAGCGAGGTTTCAACGAGCTCGAGTTTGGCTCGTTTATCGAATGTATCGAACCTTCACGAGTAGAATCAAACTTACAAGCGGCTCATTTAATTTAACAGCTTTACCTAGCACCTAGTTGGGAATTAAGCTAGCGGAGCTGTAAAATTATTAATTGATTCGTTTATATTTGTTATCTTATATAACTGAAATAATATAGTTACCAAACTAAAGTATATCTTTTTTTTTTCCGGAACGATAGAGGTACTATAACAGAGCACAAAAGTGCAAAAAGAACAAATTACAAGACCCCAACGGGGTAATCTACGGCTCCAACAGGATAATAATCTACGGCCCCAACAGGGTAATAAGACAGGGGTCAACGACCCAAACCAAAAACACACCTAACACAACAAACAAGAAAAGCAAATTGAGAGGACACGCACTAGGCGACCTAAAGAACTCCAAAACGAAAATAAAGGAAAATGAAAAACTGAGCCACTGCACAATGCCTAGCCTGTATTCATTTCCAAAACAAAAACAACAACCATACTAAGCAAAAAAAAAACACATCCTACAAAACAAACTAGAAAGCAAAAAAACTAAACAACCCTCCCCCGGAGATCTGACAAAGCCAAAAAAGCAGCAACAACCGACTCTAGGAAAGGCCCCTAGCCAAGCCCCAACACCGGAAACTGCCGAAGGCCTAACACGAAGCGGGACTTCGCCCCCGAACCCAACCCATAGGACGGAAGCCACTGACCGAGGAGACCAGGCCGAGCAGCCCCAACCGGAACTATCCGAGCTAGGCTAACACCAGTAGCCCGACTCAGAAAAACCGGATCCCAATCAACCCAACAAGAGGTGCACCAGGATAACCGCTCCCTGCCCGGACCCCAGCCCCGACAACCACCACGCACAACACCTAGCAGCCACCGGAGCCCCCTCTCCCGCCAACCACCACCAACTCCTCCTCGCAACCACAGCCGAAGACGCGTCCCTCCCTCCCCTATCGCCAACCCCCAAACAAGAGCCAGAACCCCTGAAATAGCCACGAAGCCCAAACCAAACGCCCTGAACCACCATCCCCAGGCTCTCAAACGGCCAAGACAACCCAGCCAGACAACCCCGCCGGAAAACCTCGGACCCCTATACGAACCCTAACCACAGAATCGCTCCCTGCGCCAAACCACCAAACAAACCTGCCCAAGAACAACAATCGGGGCTCCGAATCACCACAAGCAGCATCTACAAACTCGAATTAAGGCCGGGAACCTCCGCTGGTCCCACAACCACCAACGGCCAACGAAAGGGGGAAAAGAAAGAAAACGCCATGGCTATAAATTGAGGAGAAGAGACAGCGAAGAAGAAGAGGGGCGGTCAGCGACGGCCGCAGGACCGGCCTCGCCGCCGCCAGAAGAGGTCAAATCGGAAGAAGATCAAGGAGCTCGCAGGAGGAGTTTTTTGTCGTCGAAAATCGCAGGAGCTTTTTTGTCAAACCCTCAATTCCAAACTAAAGTATATCAATAATTGTTATATTAAATCGAACATGATATTAATTTTTAAATTTCATAATATTTCATATCCTCCCTATATATAATTCTCGAATGCGTTGAGCCTACGTGGCTGTTTCTGGTGCTTCGGAATCCTACTTGGCGAAGAATCATGCTTCGTAATTAGGTTTGGACAAATAATATTGATATATTAATAATTAATAATCTAGGTTTGGACATTCCATAAATATTATTTAGCTAACTTAGGTATTTTAATATCACTTGTACTAATATAACCCTTTAATTCCTTGTAATTTTACATTGTGAGACACTAAGTGGCTAATATATCCCTGACTTTTGATTTGTTTCCTTTAATTAGCTATTGAATTGTAAATATATTTTAAAAGTATTGTATATATTGAAATAAATAAATAAATTAAATTTATATTTATAATAATAAAAAATATGTATATTTATTAAAAATTGATTAGAAAAATAAAATTATTTCTCAATTGATATATTTATGTTTAATGTAGTTATATGTTGTAAGTTAAAGAAATTATTATAATATAACACAGGTAAGTTGCACAAATCCTCCATATATATAATTCCCGAATGCCCTGAGCCTACGTGGCTGTTTCTGGTGCTTCGAAATCCTACATGGCGAAAAATCATGCTTCGTAATTAGGTTTGGACAAATAATATTGATATATTAATAATTAATAATCTAGGTTTGGACATTCCATAAATATTATTTATCTAACTTAGGTATTTTAATGTCACTTGTACTAATCTAACCCTTTAATTATTTGTAATTTTACATAGTGAGACACTAAGTGACTAATATATTCCTGACTTTGATTTATTTCCTTCAATTAGCTATTGAATTGTAAATGTATTTTAAAAGTTGATAACTTGTGTATTTATTAGCGGTTTACATATATTATATATCAAATTAATCATCTTTTGATGATCTTCGGTTTGACATTCATATTGTATATATGAAATAAATAAATTATATTTATCTTTATAATAATAAAAAATAATAATATTTATTAAAATTCATTAGAAAAATAAAATTATTTATCAATTGATATATTTATTTTTATTGTAGTTATATGTTGTAAGTTAAAAATTATTATACTAAATATATAATAATATATATATTTTTATAAAAGGTACTTAAATTTTCAACTATTTTTTCTCATTAATTTTTAGACTTTAAGAAAAAAATTAGCATGCACCCGTGTAATACACGGGTGTTATACTAGTTCCTTGTATATTACTAAAAAGTTAATATATTTTGATAACAAAATATAAACTCCAGCGTGACTAACTATAAAGTCGTATAGGGTTTGTTCCAGGGGCTCGCGTTGGCTTCAGATATCGGTACCATAGGGTCCATGTTGAAATCGACAATAAGAGTATTATCGAGATGTTATAGCTACAACATCATTACATCACGACGGGCGGCATGGTGGACTATTGAAGGGCATAAAGGAGTTGTTGGGTCGGCCTTGGGCGACGGTGATTAATCATGGCTATCGCGAGGCCAACTTTATAGCATATTATTTAGCTTTATTGGCATCAAGGGTCCGAGTAGTCTTCAAAAGTTAGCGAACCCTCTGTCGGGGGCGAGTGTTTGGTTACACCATGATAAGGTTGGCGTGTCCTACCTTGATCGGTTCGCATTTACGCTCTATGTAGCCTCCTTTTCTTACACCAAAAAAAAAAAATAATAATAATAAAAATAAATAAATAAATAACCTATAAAGTCGTATGAATGTTTAATTAACAAATGCTTATAAAAGCCTAGACGAAATTAGAGCAATATATATAGTCATGTTCTTTTGTAGTCCACAACTACCTCGTGATCCTTGACAGCTAAAATATCCATCAAAATTCCATATTTGCATGTCTATTTATTTAGTATTGACGTGTTGTACAATCCTACACTCCTTGAAGTGGGAATTAAGGACAACCCCCTATTCAAAAACCCATATGAAGCATCTTAATGATATGAGCAATTATTATTCTAGTTGTTGTTGTAAACTAAATAGATTTTTAGTTTTCATTATACATGTCTGATAAGGAAAATGTAAGTATAGAAGAAAACATCATAGGCTATAATCGAAAAAGTATTAATGTAGTTAGAATTCAACTTGCACATGCTGTGGATTTAATTCAAATCAATGAATGCACAAGGAAATTTGTACTATGTTTTGAAATGCATTTGGTGTGAAAAACAACCTCGACCAGCTTGAACGATCTTGGTTCCACGCACTGACGTTCAGTTTGAAGACCTGCAAAACAATGTCGGGAGTGGTCCCGACGTAGAGCCTCTGACTGAAATGTATGCGGGGAGATAATAGAGTACGTGAAGTGTGTTCGAACACTGGAAATACAAACAAAAGCAAACAATTTAAAAATTTCTTTGGGGTGCGTCTCAGTATCCCCAATAGCTATTGCATTAATTGATCGGTTTGCGCGCATAAAATACAGTTTGGACTTACATGACTCGGATTCTCTCTTAGTCTAGCCAACACTATATCTCACTCTATTAATTCTCTGGCCACAAAAGTAGAGTTCACAATACCTATGGATCCATCTCAGCTATATGAATACTTAATCCCTAGTACAAAAAGTGTTTGTAGAAAGAAAACAACTTCAGTTCCTTATTGGTGTAAGAACACTGAAAAACTGAACCAAATAAAACTCGAAAAACTAAAAAGATCACAAACATTCCATGAAGTCTAAGGATATATTAAGCTTTGATTATTGCAACATCCTTCAATATTGAGTCTTTGTGTAACTTATATACAATTTCTTCAAGGTAAAGAGTCTTTAAAACATCCTTGGGTTTGG